ATTGAAATGTTGTTGTTGTTGTTGTTGTTGTTGGTGGTGGTGATGATGATGATGATGATGATGATGATGATGATGATGATGATGATGATGATGGTTTTTACAGCTAGTGTAGATCTAGTCATTTATAATTATTTTGAATGTTCCTGATGAAGCCCGTTGAGGGCGAAACGTTGAACTTGTCATAAAATATTTTTGGAAATACTACCAGGTCTTGACCGTTTTACTATCTGCTGTGCATAATCATGATGATGATGATGATGATGATGATGATGATGATGATGATGATGATGATGATGATGATGATGATGAATCCTGATAAAACTTCCAACATGTTATTAAATATAGCTGCCTCAGTATTCACGTCTACGATATTTTTTCTGTCGGAAAGCATAATGGTGATGTTGCTCCTGGTTGTCATTTTCCCTAGAGCGCGTGGTTCATACAAATATTTATTAATAGACAGTTGTAATAATCTTAGGGCGCACCGCGCTGTTCTTTCAGTTGGGTATCATGCTGGACTACAGAGCAGATAGCCCAGGTTCAAATCCCCAACGGGGCGTTATGAACTTGGGTTGTTTTGGGAAGTCATTTAGGTTCTCCCCCGATTTGGTTTTCGTTAACTTCGAAAGTCACGCATCTTAAACGACCTTAAAGTGTTCGAAGGTGGCGTTAAACCTGTATAATTTTGAAATTCGGCATAATAATCCATAGCCTGTTTCCAGATAAGGTTTATACTTTTTGAGAAGGTTGTTTGAAGGAGCAACTGGAATGTCCTACTTATTTAAATCCATCCTTTTTCTTCTGTCGGTCTGTGTTGCCAGTTCCTTTCATGTGGGCGGTCAGAGGGCGCCCATCTCTGGTATGTCGTACTTCTTCATTTTCCATCTGTTGTTTCTGTTTGTCTTACTTTTCCCCCAGCACTAAATAAGCGATATCGAGTCGATATGCTTCACTTAACTAATACAAACAAACGTCCAAAAATCTTCAATGCACTAAACAACCGTCATTATGTCTTCGTAATTCTCTTTAACCCTTTCAGTCCCAGACCTGTTCTGTAGCCCTACCACACATAGTTCTCAATATTGTTGAGCTTGGTAGTGAAGGGGTTAACCGACCAAATAAACAAACAAATGGGATATTGCATGAACGTGACTTTAGAAAAACGAACGAGTGACGCATTCATATTCCGAGCGGTGGGACGTTATGTAGAAAACGCATGTCTGAACATATTTTGTGTCTTTTTGATTATGCTGTGTAGGGCAATGCGTTATGCATTTCGCTTGGAAACAGTTGAAAATATCGTTATTTTGTAAACTCAGTTATGAAACTCACGAGGTGATTAAGCAAGTTATTTCTAGAGCGAGCGGGTTACTTGGTGCACGTTAATAAAAGTTCGTAACAAGGCGGAATGCACGTGCAACGACGTGCATGTGAACTTTTATGGGAAAAGCGATCATACAGAATTCTGTTTCTTTCGTTGCCTCCGTTTTTTTTCTTCTTCTGCCTGTCTTTCCATCTGCTGTCCCTCACTTTCGTTTACTCTGTCTGTCCATGTGTCTGTCTGTACGTTTGTCGGTCTTTTTTTTTTTTAGGTCTCTTTCTCTCCCTCTCTTTCTATGCCTGTCTCCTTTTGGCTGTCTCTTTACCTGTCTGTCTTCTTCTGTCTTTCCCTGTCAGACTGTCTCAACTGTTTGTCTATTCTGTCTATCCATCTGGCTGTCTCTCTCCCCACTCTCTCCTCCTGTCTCTCGCCTGCTGTTCTATCTTGCTCCGTAATCTTTG